ATAAAATTATCTTGATTAGTAAACTTCTCGTTTACTGCGGCATGTGTTTCAATCCTGCTAATATTTGTGTAGTATAAGCCGGAGGAAAGAGCGGGTAACATTTCAAGCACATATTTTTTACCGGACATTATTGTAGTAATATAAAGATATTCAATCTTTTCATCATTTGTAGTCTCAATATGATAGTCATTTTGGCGAATATTTTTGAAACTTAATAAGTTTCTTTGAGATTTACTACAAAATAGTGCTTCATCAATAGTCAAATTTGTTCCTCCTGGTAGTAATAAATTGGCTCTTCCAGAACCTTCAATTAATCTTGTACTACCGGATATTGTATTAACATTCGCTTCTTTCATTACCAAATAAGAGAAATATCTCTTATCTTTTAAAATAGTGTGTGTTGTAGCACTATCTAGAAGACATATATCATCTTTATTAATCTTGAGTCCAACTGAAGACTGGGGAATTTTCATATTCTTAATAAAATATGGCTCAGCTTAACGGGAGTTAAGAATAAAATTAGAGCTTGGAGAAGAGTTTTCTTCTTTCACTTTGGTGTATTTTTCCATTGCAATTACATGGCCTTTTATAGGCATAAAAAGTAAAGATGATGGACATAAAGTAGGAAATTTAATCTTTAAGTTATTCACAACATGGACATCCAATGTAGCATCCAATGTAGTATCCAAAGTAATATCCAATGTACAAACTATTCATAACAAACTCTAATTATTATAAACCAAAACACTTTTAAAACACTATTATTTATAGTCACTTTTTATGTCTTATAGTAAAGTGTAAATATATACAACGGTAATCCATATTTTTTTAAGCGGATTACCTTACTGTACAACATAGTAGCAACGAAATTGTAGATAGCTGCCAGTAAATATGAATATTGTAGCTATAATATGTTAATAGTCACTTAACTATAGTGATTTCTGAAAATTCCTAAAAAAAAAAAAAAGAGCCAAGAAATCAATTAAAATGGATCGGAGGGTCTTAAATGAATCGCAAAATGTAGCCCTGTAAATCGTGCACATTTGCATATCTTTCACCCGCTTATGAACACATTAATTCCATTTCTCGAAAAGTACACTCTTGCATCAAAACACATGCTGATATCTGATCTAAAGCCTATAAAGTTTACAAACACTAGTAAGTTTCTAGTTCACAAAACTAAGGCAGAGCCTATGTACCACCATTTTCTTGAAGAGAGTTTACTGGAGTAGAGGAACCACTCCTCTTCCTTGCATGGCTGGAGCTGGACTGCCCTGTGAAAGTCCTTCCCATAAACTTTCCAGCTTTGCTTAGTCCACTGCCAACAGCTCCAAGACCACTTCCTACTATTCCTGCGCCTGCACCAATGCCCGTGCCTACCATTCCAACTCCTGAACCAACGATTGATGCTGCCCCGTCAAGGGCGTCCATAGTGCTGCCGATGACCCCTTCTGCCTTTAGCCTCTTTCTTTCTTCTAGGATCTTCTTCTCTGCCTCCAGAGCTTCTAACTGCTCTTCTTTGTTAAACTCATGATACAACACCTACAACCGCAAGTCCGCAATCAATAAGCTTCAATACAACACCTGTAAAACTTCAATAATACAACAATTGACTTTGTCATGTACCTTCACTGTGATAGTTCCTCTATCTTTTTTGTCTTTGACTTTGAGCATGTCAAGTTTTGGCAGTAACCTTAATTCAATTTCTTTCGGGGTCTCCGTTTCCAGCTCATTCAGAGGCAACTTTGTAACACCCATTCGCTGGTCTTGCCCTATGTCTTTATCAAATACCTGTCCAAAGTGATAATGGATGTAAAACCGCAGTGTGTATATCGTAGACAGAGCAGAGTCCAGGCAGAAATGAGAGAAAGGTGCAGAAATCAGACCTCGAGGATAAGAGATTGCGTCTCTTTATCTTCTGCAATTAACTCAAATGTCTGGTCCCAGACCGGATTTAGGTTGTTGTCGATGGTTTTCGTCTTAAGCTTGAATAGTGGGCGAATATATAAGACTACGTATGGATCAGATTTTCCAATCATTTCATGATTCTTTAAGCCATTAGCCCTGACTATGGTCACTATAAGCTTGCCCTGTGGCTTAAGCTCCAAATCACTGCATGGGAAACACAAACAACAATTAAATAAAAATGAAAATATAATAAAGATATGTGACAAGACCATACTTTACATTCCATCCAAAAGACTACGCTGATGGGAGACATGGAACAAATAATGAAAAATATAATATTGGTTTCAAAACAAAGTGGAACAGGATAAAAGGCAGATCTATTATCAATGACTAAAATACTTCAAAATTGAAGATACCTAGTATCCACCGGTATTCCACCAATTGGAACGACAATTCTATGAGGCCATTCTAGCATATCTGTGACAATTGAATTTACAGTATCCTTTCAATGAGAAATAAACCATTGTCAGTCTAGGGAGAAAATTTTGAACAAGAAATGTCCAGCGAGAGAGCACGTTAAACACTTACATCAATCATATCCGAAATTCCAGGAAGAGCTGTTAAACTACCACCAACAGCCTTCAAAGTATAGTCAATTCTTGGCTTTGGCTAAAAGAAATAAACAAGGAGTCAGTAACACAAATATACATCAGAATGTAAGAATCTTGAAAATAAGAGAATTTAATTGGCGGCACATTTTGCATTCTGAAAATAGGAGCACTCAGCAATTCTATCATCATTTATTTTAAACGATCAGTTCTAAGACAATGGGAAAATGATTATCACATGTCATCTAGCCTAGTTGTTTGTTACTGGAATTTCAAATTCAGCTCCCACAAAATTGCATAAGCAAAAGAGAGTAATATATTTGCCACATATAATTCAGAATTCAAACCACTTCAAACATTTATCAAGAAGCATCACATTCAGCGTTTTGCAGACCTAAAAAATGTTTAACAGCTTAGCTGTTGAATCTTACTATAACCTATCGAGAAAAGTATCCATACAATCTTTTCGTGTGCTTTGGCCAAGGAAAAGAATCAGGTGTGTCTATACTCAAGTGTCTCAACCAAGATTGTTTTATCAACACACAGTCTAAAGAAACACTAAAAGCCCGATACAACCAAGATCAAGACAAAGTACCTCCCCCCCCCCTCCCCTCTCCCCCCCTCTCTTGGAGGACAACGGAGGGAGGGGGGAAGGGCGTAGAACATGATTCCCATTGAAGGATTGCGTATAGGTGTTCGTAACACGCAGCGGAAGACAATAACAATCCTAGGCACATCTTTTTATGTTTAAAATTTATTTACATGTCAATAGATCAGATCTAAGACGAACATGGTGAAGAGAGTCTCGTTTCAAAATTTCTTCGATAGTGCGAAGACTCTATGCGTATCCACACCGAGACTGATCCTTGCTATCAACTCTTTGATCAATGAAACCCGCGAACAAATTGAACGAAATATTGTGTTGAAATTTTTCACAAAAATCTCAACTCTATGTTAGAAGAACAAGAAACACTTTTCTTGCAATTGTATTTTCTCTCTTGACTTTGTATTGCACTCTCACTTTCACAAAGTGGGTTTTCTTCTCAAGAAAAAAATTGTGCAAATTTTTGTTCCATCACCCTTTATATAGTATCACCTATAAACCCTTTTCCTATTTGATTGAGGTAATAATTTATTTAGGGTAAAAATTTATTCCAAAATAAATCACAATCGAATTGTATGGAAATTCGGAAATCACGTTTTAACTAAACGTGACTGCCGAACCAATCCAACTTAATGTTGGAGTTGGTTGGATTCAATTCATACGTCCTTTTATGGACTTTTCCTATCCAATTCCAAATTGTTAAATTAATTAATATTTTATATATATAACTTTTATATAAATCAATATTAATTCATATTATATATATCTCAAATATATTTCAACCAAGAAAAATAATTTATTTTCTATTCTAAATAGAAACTTCAATTTGTTCACAATATTAATTATAT